GTCCGGATGGAATGTAGAATGGACTGCATTATGTTAAAGTCCGCAACCACATTCTAATCATCGTCCGCGGACTCATTATGTAGCAGTCCGGACACATCTGCTATGCAGTCGGCGAGCCCATGCATCTACACCAGTCCGGACTCATTCTGTATTCAGTCGGAACCATCATACCTGTCGCGGAATCATTATGTACCAGTCCGGACCATTCTGTAATCAGTCCGGATCCATTTTAAGTACCGAGTCCTTTATATATATCATAATATATATTTATATATATATATATATATATGTATATATATAATATGTATGAAATATTATATATATATATATATATATATATATATATTATATGTATACATAGAGATATATATACATTATGTATATATATAATGCAGGCCCGTCGGAAGGAATTTTAAAGTGGTATCGGTTTCAGTTGTGGGTCTGGGTAAAACCGCCAGCGGGGTTCGAAGGGGCCAGACAGGTAACCGCAGGAGTTTGAATATTTGAATAGCGGACAAGAAAACGATGCGAGGAGCGTAGGCGACCGAGCGGGGGAGGGTAAATGGAGGGGGTATCCCCCTTGCTACGTAAGAACATTTTTGAATTGGGGGTGTAAATCATGCAATTTAGCACACTTTAAAGCGATTTTTTTTTTTATGCGCTTTCATTGTAACTGGCAGAAAAAAGACAAATTACTCTTCATTAGAATAGGAAAGTTGAGGTCAAAGCTCTGGCAGAACTCTTCATACAGCTTATGCATCAACTGAAAGAACACACACACGCGCGCGTCGCGCACACAAAGGGACGCGGGCTCCAGCGTGGTGGCACACGCAACAGAAAGAGATAATAAAAATAAAAATGCAGCAGTTTTTTTCGGTTTTTGGTGACTTCTTCCGGCCAAGGCAGCCCCTGAGATCCGGTCTGACAGCCCACGAATAAATAGATGGTCAAATAGACCGCAAAATGCCGGAGGCCTTGTTGTCGACATAGAATTTACGCAGAGGAAGGGCGGGTAAGAATGGTGTCCAAATGATATGAGCGGGTTCGGTCATCAGGCCTACGTTGGAATTGAAAGCAAATTTAAAAATTGAATGAAGAGGTGACGAAAATGGCGGGAAAATCTATATAGGCTAACCTTATAAATATGGAGGTTTCAGCGGTCCAGGTGGGAGCTTAATTTATCACTTTCTGAGTATATTATTTTTAAGATTTTGCAGATTAGGATGAAAAAGTTCTTCTGCATAGGCCTATATGCCTTGTTCTGTCGTTTATGTGATACTGCGTTCATAAATAATGGAAAATAAAGCCAAAGCAACTGATGTTCGTGTTCGTGATAAAGCCTACGATGCAGCGCTATGATCATGACATTTATCAGCCCTCCCACCTCTCTCTTCTTTTTCTCTACTCTTTTCTCTCCATCTCGTCTCTCTCTCCTTTCTCTTCTCTTTTCTTCTCCCTCTCCATTCTCTCTTCGTCTTCCTTTTTTTCTTTTAGGTTGAAAAGTGGTACGTGTCAATCCCTGTAGCAACCGTAAGCGGCTCCGACGGGCCCTGATCATAATGTATTTGTATATATCATATATATTTGTATTATAAACAGTAGAACTTCGTTGACGAGAAGTGAAACAGTTCGTACCTACGTTTCCCTAGCTGACACGTGAAAACAGTCGCAGAGGCTGGGCGCGCTACTTTATAAGAACGAGCCTCAGGTCACGCGTAAACGCGGTGGTTTTTTGATGCGTAGCACGAATCGGCTCGATCGCCTACTGATATCCGTGCGAGCACGCGCGCACACATCACATACAACATCACTTGCAGGCGTCAACTAAGACGCACACCGAGCTGGCCACGTCTGACAATTCTCAAACAGTGACTTAACACGCCGTGTCTATATTGTACAGGGCTATGGGTGGAACGCCCCTCAAAGAAGCCCTGACGGCGTCAGAAACTGGACCGTCAAGATACCTGACCGTCAAAACCTGGACGGCGTCAAAATCTGGACCGTCAATAAAACCTGGACCGTCCATGTTTGTCACAGGGAAAATGTTTATAAAGCGTGCAGTCTGTCGCCCATTGTTACTTTGAATGTGTATTTATTTTTTTTGTCCGTTGTATAAAAAAACCACATTTGATGTGTCTCCGTGTTTTGCATATTTATGCTAAATAAAGTAGATAATTTAAATAGGGCCATCAACTGACTATCTATGATGACCAATGTACTGTGCTTACTCATGACTCTATAACTGCGGGGGGGGGGCAACTTGAATTTAGAATATGTTTTCACTGAAACTTTTGAGTAAACTTGGAAAAATTTTGGCCCAATTCACCGTCGGCGAGAGAAGTACGGAGTCATTGCAGTCCGTCGCGAGTTACGTAGTAAGTAGGTTAGATACTGCAAGTATATGAAAGCGATGTAACAGGGTTAGGGTTAGGGTTATGGGTAGGGTTAGGGTTAGGGTTTAGTGGTTAGGGTTAGGTTAGGTAGGGTCGCTGTGACAACATGGACGTCCATGGTTTGTCGGTTCCAGATTTTGACGTTCAGGTTTTGACGCGTCCGCAGGTTTTGACGTCCCAGGTCGACGGTCCCGGTTTTTGACAGGGAGCCATTGTAAAGCAACTATATTACGTAGTCGGTACTTAGCACCATCTTTTTATATTAAATAACATCTGTATCAGTCCCGGACGCCATTTGCTATACCTGTCCCGGACTCATTATGTACCAGCGGCGGACCCATTATGTATCAGTCCGGTATCTATTTAGTAGCCAGTCCGGACCGCCATTTATATATATTCAGTCCTAATAATTATTATTGATTTATTATTTATTATTCATTGTTATTATTATTATTATTATTATTTATTATTATTAATGAGGGGGCTACGGACGCGATGATAAAACCCAGGAGTCGCGGGTCCGGGTCCGGGTTTTATGCAGGTTTTTCCTGGGTCCGGGCTGGGTCCGATCGGGTTTGTTATGCGGTTTCCGGTCCGCGACCCATTCCCTAGCACCAGTCCGCAGACTTCATTATTACGGCAGTCGGAACTCAGTTCTGGGCATGCGTTCCGGACCGCATGCGTATCAGTCCGGACCGCATTCTACTCCACCGGACTCATTTATGGTACCAGTCGGACGCATTCTGCATCAGTCCGGACGCGACGCTTGCGTGGCGTGTGTATGTGTGTGTGCGTGTGTGTGTGTGTGTGTGCGTGTGCGTGTGTGTGTGTGTGTGTGTGTGTGTGTGTGTGTGTGTGTGTGTGTGTGTGTGTTGTGTTGGTGGTTGTGTGTGTGGGCAGGGGCGGATTCAGACCGTATTTTCCGTATTGGGCAAATACGGTCTTATGATTCAAAGTTGCCCTTCGAAATTTTTGTGCTAAACAATACAGAAAACAAATTTGATGGCATTTGGCTATATTCTTTATTTGTTTCTTTTCTTCTGATTCATTGAGCATGGACTGTGAAGGAAATGCAAGCATTTACATGTAACAATAACTGCTTTGATATCTGAAAAAGAAGGGAAGTGGGCTTGAATCATTCTGGCATTAATTGCTGGTATGGCAAAGGCGCAAAGGCAGGCAAAGAATAAGAAGAACATAAAGAAGGCAGAAATAGAAATTCGCATATGAGTTTTAACTCTTGTGCCTGATAAATGTGTGCTCAAATTGGCTGCATTATTTTGTCCCAGGGACCTCTTGAAATTGTAAAAATATTTAACACCGGACGCCAGATCCCCCGCCATGTGCTCCGCGGCTAGCCGGCGTCCACTGGGGTTCGTGCCCCTTTTGGGTTTGATGTGCCCTTAAAGTTTGAAAAGAATAAACTGTCTTAGCTCAGCCCTGGATCCGCCCCTGGTGTGATCTGTGCGCGAGCGTGCATTCGGCGCGCGCGCGCGGCTGTGTGTGTGTGTGGTGTGTGTGTGTGTGTGTGTGTGTGTGGTGTGTGTGCGTTGTTTGGCGTGTATCGTCGTGGCGTCGGTATTGAGGAAACGATTTTGCACGATGCTAGGCGAATGTACGGTGTACGGGTGTATATGAGGAAACGATTTTGCACGATGCTAGGCGAATGTACGGTGTACGATTTGAGCTGAAGTTGGATGAGTTACGCGTAGTAAATCGTAGGTATTATAAGGCTAGTAAATGACGAATTTCCCTTGTTTATTGAAGTCACACTCCTTCCCTATTATCTACTCCTGATACTATTGTCGTACCCAAACTTGGAATCTGCACAATCTCGAGATTGTGCAGCGATTGTGCTGCCCAAACTTCGGATTCCCTAGTTTGGCTGACCAATCTCAAGATTGGGCAAACTGAAAACAGTCGGTGATACAACAACCGCTCATAGTGAGTGTGTGGCGTGCGTGGTGCAAACTAGGAAGAGATTTATCTCATATTTATCCAATTATTTATTATAATCATTTAATATTTATACAGAGGTGCCAAACACATTGAGGAAAGAAGGTATACGACCTTATAGTTTATGATATAACATTTGAAATCCTAATAATCATATGTTTGTGCAAGCTCTGTTTACCTCCGTTTTCCCAATCTCAAGATTGGTTGCCCAAACTGCGGATGGGCTGAAATTCCAAGTTTGTGCAAGATTCCAAGTTTGGGCACAACACTATTAGTATTACTACTAGTATTACTATTTTTCATGCCATATTGATGCACAGATATATACGCATAGACGTCGAGCCACTCTGAAATATTGATATTACTACAGACAAAAATGTGACACGTCTGTCCTGGTGTAAATATTGAAACACAATATTCGGCCAAGCATGCTTTTATGTTGAGTCTGTCTGATCAAAATATTTTTATTCACAAGATCCTTGTATAGAACACTACTTTGGCAACATACTTTGATGGATTTCGGGGCAAGGCAGCTTTAACACTATCACAGTCACAACCCAATTACAACCACTTGGATTTTAGATACCAAAATTTAAGTCTACGTTATTTGTTGACATCAGCATTTATAGTAGACGTTTCATTAAATTCCAGATTCAACTGAGCAACCAAGCCGATCGATTTTCAAGTTGTATGTGTCAGAGCTAACTAAGAAGTAAGTAGGGATACTAATCGCTTACAATTACGTGCAATTCATTTATCAGTTTTTAGCTCGCCTTGACATCGTCTAGGGGCCATGGGGCGTCGTCCGTCCGTCCGTTCGTCCACATTTGGCTACGGTCAACGATAACTTGAGAACCGTTTGACCCACATGTTTCAAATTGCATACAGTTGTTACTCCTATGGGAGAGATTTGAACGTCTTATTTTGGAGCATGCCAGTCGACTTACTTTCGAGCCACGCCCACTTTTTGGCAAAAATGGAAATGGCCATAAGTCAGTTCAGGTTCAACGGATTTTGCTCATTTTTGGTATGTGAATGAATAAGGACTTGCCCCAAAACATATCACACTAGTTTTTATATATTTTTTAAATTATGCAAATTAGGTAGATTAAGTCAACCTATTTTTGAATCATTCTAAACTGCGTGTTTGCTGCAGTTTTTTTGGTGGGGTAGCGAGATTCGAGAAGATAATTTGTGGTTGCGTACTACCCACTCATACCTTTGACCAAAATAACAGAAAAATGTCAATCAACTGGTTAACAACTCTACAATCATGCCTACGTGTAATATTGTGTTTTAAACTCTTCGTTACAGTAAATTTGACTGAAATATTTTTTCTTTTTTTCTTTGCGCAATAATTGAAAACCAAAATGGCGATCATTTAGGCATAGCGCCATCACTCGCCCAGATTTCAGACTCAGATCTGAAACATTTATTTTCACATAAAAAATTACGCATATATATATAATTATCAAGAGTATATAATGGTGAGCTATAGTGTCATTGACACTTTCATTTAATGTCCCTCTAGCTCTATTATAATTAACCAATCCCCAACAACCACAACAATTTTGTTATTTAACTTAACTATAGAAATATTATTGTGTCCCTTCTAGAAATGATGAAGTGAAGCTTCTATTGACAGAGGATTTAGAGGAAAACTTTCTCTCAGGCCTAGCTGAAGCAGCTCAGGGAAGGTAAGGTTTTATACATGAACAAATGTTTTACATTCTACATTTGTTACATTTTTATATACCTTCAGAAGGTGAACTATTACCATGTAAAGTCGCAAGTTTACTTTCGTGACTCACATACTGTAGGTTTACACTAATAAAGATAGGGCACAGCCATTCAAAACCAGTTAGGTGTGCTCATTTTATTTATAGCATACTCTTATTTCTCACAGGATAACAATTTACGATGGCTACACTGATTCCTGTAACTGGGATGGCACTAACTGCAATGCTGCTGAACGACTAATCAATGATGTCAAAGCGTCACCTGTAGGCAAAGTTCCCATCATGATCTGTAGTCTGTCTCCACTGCTTATGCGCAGTTCGGCTAATGTTTACCGCCTACTGCATCTCCTGACAAGCTGCAAGGGTGAGTGTCTGATAGGCAACATGTATGTGCGATGTGGAGGTGCTACACTCATCGGTGGCTAGCATATCGGGCCATAAACATTAGATCCAAAGACCAAGTTGGTGTGAAACAGAAATGGCGGTAGCACTTCGTGTTTTCATGCACTGCCGCCTTCACCAATTACTTCATATCTAACAAGTTGTGAGTAACACCTCCATGAAGCTAACATCCCACGCCGGACTGCCGACTGGTTAACATGTGTGTAACTATAGAGTGTTTTGTTGTTATTATGTTTGGCAGGGTGCCAGGTGGTCATTGCTAATGTACACATTGACATGCATGATGACAGCGTCATCGTACAGCTCGAGTATCTTGCATCTACGATCGTACGTGTTAAGCAAAATATGGAGTGCAGCACCCAGCACAAGAAACCTACGGGAAAAGTCATTAAGAAGGTGAGTGTCGAGTGATGCTATGTTCACACATATTAGGCTCATAAGAAAGTGTGATTGGTGTGTTTAGGAGTTTATGTATGAAAATACTCAACATACTTGTAATGTTGTGAAAGACCCAGCAACATAAGCTATCAAAATAACTTACTTGCTAACTTGCTTAAAAATTTTACCTTTTGTCGATGTTTGTACAAAAGAGTACATCTTCATTATTTCATATAATACTTTCTTGCTACTTTTAGACTGAGGTGCTGACGATAGCAGATGATTACAGTCTAGATTCGTGCAAGGAGTTGGTTGCGTTGAAGATGCCACCAGGTGGAACTACTGTAGCTGAACCGCCTAACCCAGCTGCCAATCTTTCATTTAGCCTCACTCTCAGGGAAACAGAGAAGGAAGCTAGAAGCCAACTTGTGCTGCTGTACACACATAAACGCAGGTATGTCGCTATCGCCTCTAACGTTCTACTGAATGTCTCATTGCTATTCTTTTACTGGTATTTCATCAAATTCTTTATTTAGTATGTGTGAAGACATAGTAATATGATCGAGACCATCTCATTCTCATCTCGTTTTACCTGTTCGAACAGATTGGTTATTTGGAGCAGCGATGTATATTTTCTTACTCTTAGTAATATCTATTATTTCTAAATTTTGCACAAGGGAGAGATAGTGATCTGCTAGGGGCCGGCTCTGATTGGCGTTGGCCAATTTTGTCTCTTATTTATTTTTATTATTTTTGGCTAATTTTGTTGTATTTTAGAATTAGGGTTAGGGTTAGGGTTAGGGTTAGGGTTAACTGATTTCTATATTCACAACACACTAATAATGCGCCATCTAGCAGATCACTTTCTCTCCTCTGAGACCTACTTATTATTTCTTACAGCGATATTGTGCCAGTGGTGCCATCTGGTGGTCAGATTTTCTACCAACCTGACGAAGCGGATGATTTTGATGAAGATGATCCTGATGATGATTTGGACATTTAATGTGGCATACTACATTATCTGCTTGAACTCGAATAAAGCAAGGACACACAAACTATGTAACGGACATTGCTATATCTTGTTATATAGTCGATTATGGTTAATTTTCTCACAACCATGTACATATAATATTATAAACATATTAAATTATATATCGTTTTGCATAAAACACGTCTGACACCTTTTTTCGAATTTTTATGCCACATAGCACTTGGTACACAAAAAGAAAATAGTTATCACATACTACGTATGTAGTGAAATTAAGCACTTAGTAATTATGAGATCTATACAGTACCCACAGTCGGTATGGCAAATTCAATAGAAACACAAATTGCGTGATTCGTTTTCAGTACCATATGATGCTCACACAGTTTTGTCTAAAAAATAAATGAATAAGTTCTTTTTAACCAAACTATAATTTAAACGTACCGTGAACGTTTCAACATCTGTCAGATGTCTTGATCACTACGATGATTCAAGAACTTATTAATTTATTCGATTATAACAAACAGATGAACCTAATAATTATTAACAATAACAGTTTCGCTAAGTTTCCAGTTCGTGAATGTTACCTGATGTTACTAACAGAAATCTGCGTATAATAATACGTTTTTTTTACAGTAATAGTCACGTGCTGCCATCTAGTGTATGTATTTTAACAGAGGCACTCGAGAAATCAGCGAATTCTGTGAGCTAACGCTTATTCACTGTATCAGCAGCATTGACCCAGAAAAGACGATAAATTGATTTCCAGACTGGCGCGTGGGGGCACTTGATTTATCGATCGTCAATACCTCCGTGAATGTCGTCATTGACTCACAGCTTCTCCATCCTCGTGATCATCATCGCCCTACCTGGGGGATAGCTATAACTCATTTTTTGTCTGGGTAGATATGCAAAGCCAAGTGCGGTGTGTGTACGCGCGCGTATGTGTGTGGGTGCGTGCGTGCGTATATGTCATTGTGTGTCAGTGTCGGCTGATGGGGTGGGCCGGGAATATTGGTAGTTGCTGTTACAAATGGCGGTGGTCTCACAGCCATGACATAAATGCTAAGTATGTCCGGTTACGTGTGATGTGATAAAAATCTTGGGGAAATATCTGTAACTTCAGTCCATGTAATATTATGTCTAAATTTCAACCCTCTCCGACCCGCGTTGACTGGTTAAGCAGGGCCCGCTCTTCAGCGGTACAGAAGGAACAAAGTAAATTTCGTGATACATGCATGTGTCCACACTCAGGCCCGAAGCCAGCTTTATATTGGGGGGGGGGGGTTCGTTTTTCAATGTTGGCAATTTGCTCGGCAGGGGCGTGTGCAGGATTTGTACCAGGGGTGGGTGTAACCGTAACCCAAAGTTGCGAGCACGCGAAGGGGGGGTCTGGGGGCCCTCCCCCAGAATATTTTTAAAATTAGACCCCCTCAGATGCGTTTTCTGCGCGAGCAAGGGGGGGTCCGGACTCCCTGGACCCCCCTGTACACGCCCCTGCTCGGGCGCGAAGCGACCAGGCGAGGGAGCCAAGCGACCGAGCGGGGGGAGGGTGTGGGAGGGGGGTGTTCACTGTTCACCCTCCCGCACGATGGAGATTTTGCAATTATTACACTAAAATGGAGCGACCAGAGGTGAAATTCTTGCAAATTTAAAAAAAAAAAATTTTTGGCTTGGGGGGCTTGGGTTCGAACCCCCCGAACCCCCCTTGGCTACGGGCCTGCACACTTTCCTTGGTTCAACCACTCATTCGCCGTATCATAATAGCTTTAATTGTAAAGCCAATAAATTAATAATGCAACCTCGTAACCTCATAAATATTAGTCTTCAATGTCCGGGAGACTATATATAATATCGAAGGTGGAAAGAGACAAAGTTAATCAAATAGACAGATCATCACCGCGGATCGCAGTAGAAAAGGCAGCCTCAACTTTGCAAGAGGAAGGGAGAGAATTCCAATACGGAATGACAGAAACAAAAAAGCTAAACGTAAAGGGATCCTATGAAGATGGCACGTGTTAAAAGCAATGATCATGCACGCTCAGATGATCGATGCCTTCTTCGTTTCTGTCATCCCATATTGAAATTCTATTCCTATATTCTTCTTTCAGTCTTTGGTTAATTCCAAAATTGTGGCTGTTTCTACAGCGATCCGCATCTGTCCATTTGGCTCTTGTCGATTAATTGGCTCTCTCCGTCTTCGATATACTATATAGTCCCTTTATCTTTATTTTTAATCTTAATGAGATTAATACGCATTTCGCTTACAATCCTTTGATGTATACTATACAATGTGTACCTTTGATGTATACTATACAATATAATATAATACACGTGTTTGTATTATATGCTCTCAGTCTATGCTTATATCAGCAATTATATTATATCAAGAGCTAATAATATATAAGAGCTAATAAGAACTAAGCTAAGGTATTATTAGCTCTTGATTATATATATAATGTTACACGCGCACATTCGTTCGCGTCGCGCGGCGACGAGCCGAGCAGACGCCGATTGGCGACACATGCGTAGTAGACATTATTTTTAATAAAAGACCATCTCAAAAGCAGCGGAAAAAATTCGCTTCGTTCTCTCGTGCGTTTTTCATTCATTCAGCAAGTCGCACGTTTTAACAGATTATAGCTGACTCAGCCCGACTGTAACGTATACACGAGAAATACCTTCGCCAAGGGTCATTCATATAAGATAATCGTAAGTCACGAATAACTGCTTATTTTGTAAAAACCGAGGTTAATACACTGCAATATACGGCCACTGATACTGATAGTGATAGTGATAACAAATCACGGCAAACGTGACCGGTGTCCTAGTTTTTACTAGGCCCCTATAGTACTAGCAGTACTAGTAGTGTGATATGTTGATAACCTAAGGGTAAGGCTAAGCTTTGTCAATGCCTTTATATACGATGTCGTATATATTACTATATACCGTATTTACAATGAATACTTATTACTTAACACTGTCACTATTGAGTATTGGCACTGCCACTTACGCTGAGAGGGTCTGTCCCCCAGGGTACTGCCGGAACGTACCCTGCGTACGGTCCGGTATACCGGAACGTACCCTGGTGCTATCTAATATGCCGGACCGTACCTCGCCTACTCCATTAACGAGTCTAGGGAGTCGCCTATGCTTACTCCCTAACCCTAACCCTAACCCTAACCCTAACCCTAACCCTAACCCTAACCCTAACCCTAACCCTAACCCGAACCCTAACCCAAACCCTAACCCGAACCCTAACCCAAACCCTAACCCTAACCCTAACCATATCAAATAGTTACCAGGGTACGTTCCGGCAGTACTCTGGGGGACATAGATCCCATGAGCGCCACTTACAGTTACACTGCTGTTCACCTAGTTACATAAATTATAGACTTTATACTTATAGTTATACTATACTATAGTGCGCAAGCATTCCTTTCCACCTATATTCAATTGCTATCCTCCTAGACTCTTTATCGTAGTAAATTGTGTGAAATCAGAAATGATAGTAGACTAGAGACTATCATAAATATTAATGCCTGCTTGCCTGAAAAATTGCCCTGGACCCCCCTAGCACAGCATATTTCATGTTTGTCAGGTATGTGTATTATTACTATCATCTTGATCTTGATCTTGATGTGATAGTGATACACCAACAGTAACCAATTCTGGCGTGGCGCCGGCGGGAGTCGAGAGACACCGTCATTACACATCATTATTTAAAAATTATTATCATGACTATTGCCATCGGAAATGTAGAAGTGTGTGTGTGAAATACGTTTGTACTAAATTTCCACTAAAACTTTATATTCCTTTTTATTATTTGTTTATTTTGCATGCGTTTATCTTATTGCATACAAATCTTTAATTGACAGTTAGCCAAATCTTGTGAGAAAACTACACTTCAACAATAACCATATATCTTGTATATATACCCGGGTATTCGTTTTTGCTTGTTTCTTTATCCTAAAAAGTGCTGTATGGTAAATAATGATATGTGCATATATATGTGATCCTCTGTGTTTTTTGCAGGTAATTAGCCTGCTAAGAAACAAAGCCATTGCTTCTTCGCAGCCACAAAAATCAATGGGTGACTTTTACAGCGTGTCATTTATATTACAAAATATACATATAAAAGACCCATTAATTTAAAGTTACTAAGCTAGTATACTATCTAATTAATCATAAATGTCTATTCAACAATCGTATGATAATAATAGGTCTCATATAACTGTTATTCACATTAAACAGGCAAATTCCCCCATGTAATAAATATGTGAAGACCTATCTAAATTTTTAGATCAGCATGTGAATTCCACAGGTTGGGGGATGCACCGGAAAGTATGAGAAAATGCCGCGAGCAATTCCCTATTCTCTCTATGGAATTGCATTCTCGCGCCAGAATATTTTGTGCCGGGTTTAGGTGTTAGCTTTAATTATTGGTGCACAGAGGATCATCCCTAGGTATATATATGTATAACTGCTATATATATATATATCTATATATATGTATAACTGCTATATATATATATATCTA